AGAAAGAGAAAAAAAGGAAGGAAGAGGAGGAGGAGGAGGAAGTGCCAGGAGGCCACAGCCCTGAGCACCACCAATAAAACTTTACACCCCACATCCGTCCCCTGGCACTACCAGGTTTATGGGGCAGCACTGTATTTCCTTGTCCATCCTGAATCTCCACTGGTTTACAGTCTCTTCTCAGCCCCCACACACCATGTGCCAATCCCAGCCCTCCCTGACCTGTTTTCCCAGGATCCCACAGCTGTAAAACCCGCTTGGAGTAGAAGTGCTGACTGGCCCTGGGTGTGGGCCGCGTCCCTGAGAGCCGCCCCCAGGGACAGACCAGCCCGTGGTCTCTCTGAGGGGGTGACACCACTGATGGCCTCTCCCCACGCAGGCAATGCCCCCCCAGGTGTGGACCCCGAGGCCTTCTCCTGGTTCCAGACGGTGGATGTGGATCACAGCGGGTTCATCTCCGTGAAGGAGCTGAAGCAGGCGCTGGTCAACAACAACTGGTCGTCGTTCAACGATGAGACCTGCCTGCTGATGATCAGTGAGTCTGGGGTCTCCTTCCCCTCTTCCTGCTTTTAATCTGGTTCATTTGGGGTTCAACCTGTGCCGGGGTGAAGCCCATCCCTGCAGCATTCCCCTGTTCCCTGGGCACTGCTCCCCTGAGCAGCTGGAGCCAGGGCTGGGCAAACCGAGCAGCTCCCGGCGCCCTTTTGGTGGAGGAAACGAATCAGGGGCCCAAAATCCTGCTTGGAAAAGGGAACCCCAGCTCTGCTCAAGGCCAAGTGAGCCCCAGGTCCCAGAGAGCCAGGGAAGAAAGAGAAGGAGAACCCCAGTGATGTGGAGGCTGACCCAGAGCGTGCCCCGACGTGAGGCTTTGGTGCCGTTTCTTACCAGCCTTGGGGATGGAATGGTCCCAGTTGATCTCAGTCGCGGTGAGGGGGGGATTTTGGGGCTGGGAGAAGCCATGGCACAGATCCTGGGCTGCCTGGGAGTTCCTGCAGCGTTTCCACTCCTCACTGCCCTGCTCCTGCTCCCTCCTGCCCAGACATGTTCGACAAGACGCGGTCGGGGCGCATCGACGTGTACGGATTCTCCGCCCTGCTCCGCTTCATCCAGCAGTGGAAGAGCCTCTTCCAGCAGTATGACAGGGACCAGTCAGGCTCCATCAGCTTCACTGAGCTCCAGCAAGGTGGGTGAGGGTCAGGGACAGCAGCCTGGCCCATCCCGAGCATCCTGGCTCTGCTCCAGGTTTATTTCCAGCCGGGCTCGGTGACTCCCCCCGGTGTGGTCCCTGCATCCAGGCTGGGGGGTCTCTGAGCTCCTGAGGTGCCTCCTGTGCATCCTGGGAATGCTGGGCTGGCTAATCTGGCTGTAGCAGAGCTGGCACTGAGCTTCCCGCGGGACAGGAGGTGATGAGCTGCAGCAGGGCTGTGGCACAAACTTCCTTCCTTAAGGAAGCCCAGAATTCCCCCCCTAAATGGTATGTGGCTCAAGCCTGTTTTTCTGGGAGGAGCCCTTGGGCGTGTGTGAAGGGGGGAAAAATGTCTGGAATTTGTGCCATGGTTTGATTCCTCCCTCTGGGGAGCCCTGCCCCTGCACACCCTTGGTGGGAAGTGTGGGAAGGGAACACTGTGATGGTGGGAGATGGGCTCACAGGCTTGTAGGCCCCATATACTCCACAGGTCCTATAGGCCAGATAGGTCACATATGGACCACATATGCCCCATAGGCTTAAAGGCTGCACAGGTCCTATAGAATCCCTAGGCCCTATAGGATACATGGGCCCCATAAGCCTTATAGACCCCAAAAGTCCCATGGGCTCCAAAGACCCCACATGTGTGGGACATGAGGTGGACATGGGGAATGTGGGGCATGGGGAATGTGGGACATGGGGGGTGTGTGCCAGCAGGGGAGGAGTTCACAGCCACTGTTTCTCCTTCTGGGAAGGCTTAATCCCGATGTTTCTTGCTCCCAGCTTTCTCCCAGATGGGCTACAACCTGAGCCCCCAGTTCAGCCAGCTGCTGCTGGCCCGCTACGCCCAGCGCTCCCCCAGTCCCAGCATCCAGCTGGACCGGTTCATCCACATCTGCATGCAGCTGCAGAGCCTCACCGACGCCTTCCGGGAGAAGGACACGGCGCTGGCGGGGAACGTGCGGCTCAGCTACGAGGATTTCCTCACCATGGTGGTGACCCGCATGCTGTGACACCCCCTCCCGGGGCTGGCAGCTCTCCGGAGGCCACAGCCATCCCCATCCTCCCTCTGGGATGTGGTGGAGCCCCTCCCTGAGAGTTCCCCCGGGGCCAAATTTCCACCCGAGGAGCCCCGAGCGCTGCTGGGGCTCTCCTGGCTTTGATTCCTTGGCCCCATTCCGTGGGGTCTCCACGCCAGGCTGGACTCGGTGGGACAGCCAAACCAGTAGCCCGTGCCATGGTGCCCAGGGAGCGCTTAGATCCCTTGCCAGACCCAAATTCCAACCTCATCCCTGTACTCAGTGGGGTGTCTGCAGTGGAACGCCCTTATTTTGGGGGGTGAAGAGCTGAGCCCTGGTTTGGAAGCAGCAGGAAGGGGACAGGTGAGGACAAAGCTTGTCCTTCCTTCCCTCCCCGACCGCCCTGGGAGCACATCCGGCCCCTCGGCCGTGCTGGGAATGCTTTCCCGGGGGTCTGAGCTGGAATGGGATGTGCTGCTGCAGCTACACGGGATCGTCCACCCCCCCCACACACACCCAGTTGCCAATTTGTCTCTGCTGAAGCCAAATCCAGACACGGTTTAGAGCTTGTTTTTTTTCCAGCTTTGGAATAAAAGGCGACGGACGTGCAGCGGCTGCCGCGTGGTCTGTGTGTCCGGGGGGGCTCGA